TCATGTAGCTTTGGTTTTGTTGATTGTTGTTTTTGTTTTTGCTTTCTGTAATTTATTTGGATTGCAAACTGCAAAGTGTCATAAATGATTCTACACAAAGCACACAGAACAAAGATTATTTTGTCAAAGTTTTGTACTTGATTTAGCTCAAGTAATTGGACTATAATTCTCCCATTATTAGGTTAACGGCCTATATATCATGTAGCTCAAGTTTTGTAGGCTATTTATAAAATAATCAAAACTATATCATTCTTATTATGTGAATGCCATTCTTAATATTATCGATGGTATCTGTGGAATATCGACATTGAAATCTAGGAAGAGAATTTTAATGCATTAAATGTCCTTATCAAATTGAAATGAATTTCCAATGAAGTTAAAAAATATTTGTACTATATCCCTACCCTACTATATTAAAAGAAAAGGTTAAATTTAGTGACTTAGTGTTTTAGTTCTCACTTTTCAATCATAGCTTTACGACAAATTCTGACGACTTTCTTACATATCCGAACGTACTAAGAATTTGTTATCGGGGCTTTTTATGTTAATACCGACCTTGAGGTTTAGAAATAGAAATTGAATCCCTTATGAAATTGAAATTGATTTGGAAAAGTTTTAGTTTTACTTTAGAATAAAATTTAGTAAAAACCAAATTTCATTTTACCGTATAGATTCTGATGATTTCCATCATTATCAATGTCATAATTAAGTGCGGCTTTTTTATAATGTGCTTATTAACATGATGGATATTTTATCTACGTGGGATTTTACCATTGTGTTGGATATATTATCATTTGCTTAACCGGGCATAAACAAGAAGCTAGAGATACATAGGTTTTCATAAAAACAGACAAAGTTTAAAAAATATGCCTGGCTGAGTGCAATATTTGTCCAAGGTAGAAGCCTTTTTAATTCATTTTAAGGTTATTAATATAATACTGGCTTTTAATATAAACTAATTCAAGTTAATTTCCATCTGGAATAAAATTATAAAAATGGGATTCAGAAAGTAGTAATGAACGGGAAAGAAATTTTAGGGGGTTAAAAAAGCAAAGAAAACATGACAAATAATATGATATGACAAAAAAAGGACATATTGAATGAAAGTAGGAAATTCATTTTCCTTTTAATAACAATTTAGACGAAGGGGGATTAAAGTACCAATGGACTGTTCCGGGGTGTGGAGAAAATTGTTGAAATTAAGATTTTAGCACATCCTTTTATACAAAAAAAAAATGTGGGAAATGGATTACAAACGAATTTCTGGTTTGATTCATGGTACCCTGTAGGACCTTTGCATTTGTCTTTTTCGACAAACATGTTAACATCTTTTGGCTGTAATGGCCAAGATTGTAGCAGAGCGTATTTGAAAGGATCAGTGGAAGTTGCCCCAAGGGACGAAACTGTCAAGAGAAGTAACGACGGTGATGTTGGCAATACCTTGTTCCTTTGTGCCCAGACTTTGACAGTAATGATAATACAAGATGGACTGCAAATGGTTCAGGCGTTTTCAAAGTAAAATCAGCCATGGAAGCCAGCCATCAGAGGGAAGAGACCACATGTGGGATGGTACGGACTGGTTTGGTGTAAGAATCACAATTCTAGTGTGCTTTCATTCTGCAGTTGCTACGTAAGTGAAGAAAGAACACGGTTGATAGGTTGCAGAAGTGGGGGTAAAGATAGATTCTGAAGCATGTGTTTTCTGCTCAAGGGTGGAGGAGAGCGTATATGACACCTATTTCTTGATTGTCCTGTGACACAAATGGTTTGGTAAAAAGCTCAAAGCACCCAAATACTCTTGGGCAATTAATACTTTCAGTCATCAGTATTAAACTAAGGACTAGTATTAGCAGTAACTGTTTACAGTATCTGGAGGGTGCGAAATGAAGTCAGATTCCAGTCCAAATACAGGACTGCTGTGGGAATTTTGGACTCCATTGTTACTAGTCCAATAAGCTGTTTTATCTTGTAACAATTGGAGATTGCTGGTGAAATAGGGGATACCTACTATTTGTATGAGATAGTGAGAATCTGAGAAGAGTTTCAGGAATGGTATAGAAGTGTATATAATAGTGACATTTTGGGTGTAAACTTTAGACGGAGGGGAAGCCAAAGATTTTGGATGCTGATTAGTTGGTCGCATTATAGAAGTATTATAGAAATTTCAGTGAACGTTGTTGGCCATACCATAGTTCGTATTTTAAGTTTCTAATATTTTTGTCATTCACTTTGCATGAATTTTGCGACTTTTGTGACAGTTAACACTGGTTTTGGACTTACACTTAGTAAGACCCTAACTTTCCTTCCTTTTTTTTTTTTTTTTGAAGAGACATCTTGGCATTACAAAAAGAAGGGGGAAAATAGAACATAATTTTCCTTGTCATCAAGCAAAAAATAAAGTAATTTTCTTTGCTACGATAACTTTTAGAAACAAAAAATAGGAAGAGAACAAATTTCTTGAAAAGTAATTATGTGTATCTAAGTAATGGACTATTGGCCTTTAACAAACATAAATTTAATAATAGGTAATTTTCTACTTCAAGTGTTAGTGATGAAAATTTTGCACTAAAAGCTTCGCCTAAGTCAACTAAGCTCTCCCACATATTGGACAGCTATTTACAGCCACCTTGCTTGATGCCTCAAACTCATCACCTCAACGGCTCAACCAGAACACTTTTTCTTTTCTCCTTTAATATATATTGGCTTTTATTGTACTTGTTTTGTCCATAGACTACAACAAGTCTTAGAGAAAAATAGAATCAATTATTTCAAGTACTTGTTTATGCCATATTACAATATATATGAATCACTTTTTTTCAAAAATATAACAACAAATTATTGGAAATAAATCAAGAAAGTTGCAAATCAGCTTTGGCATAGTATTTGAAATCTGTTTAACAGTACAGCCTTTGTGGTCTTGGGGTTGTTGTCTTTATTGGTATTCCTAACACTAAACTAAACGATTGGTAGGGTTTCGGGCTGCTAGGTTGTGGCTGCTAGGGTTTTGACAGAAGCCATGGCAGCAGAGGCTGCCCTCCCACCTTGAGAGGGGGCACCCTGAATCTTCGTCTCCATCTTTCAAGAAGAAGGTCTTTTCAGAGCTATTCGCTAACACTGTGCCAATGCAGGTTCATGCGACTATGTCGACTCATCGGGGTGAGCCGACAGTGGTTTTTAAGGCTGCTGATATGTTAGCAGTATCATCCCCATTCCAATACGCTCTGGTAGGAAAGTTCTCGAAGGGTAGGCCGGTAATGCCAGAGCTACAAAAATTTTTCACTACGTTGGACTTGAAGGATGCGGTTACAGTGGGTCTGTTGGACAACAGGCATGTCTTGATCACTCTCAAGAATAAGGTAGATTTCTTAGGGGTTTGGTCTAGAAGTATTTGGTATGTTTGCGGTTGCCCCATGAGAGTCTTTAAATGGACACCAAAGTTCCATGTGGACAGAGAATCCTCTTTGGTTCCTGTTTGGTTTAGGTTGCCTAAGTTACCAATTCACTTGTTTGATAAGCAATGCCTGTTTCATATTGTTTCCCGTCTAGGTACCCCCCCTATTTGTTGATGCCGCAACTGATTCTTACTCTCGATCGAATGTGGCTAGAGTTTGCGTGGAGGTAGATTTGCTGAAGACCTTACCGTCAAGGGTGTGGCTGGATATGGGGGATGGAGATGGTTTCTGGCAATCGCTACAACCTGAAAATCTTCCACAGTATTGTACTCCCTGCTATAGGTAGGGACATGGAGAGGATCAATGTCATGTGAAAACCCCGGAGTTGAGGCAGTCTCAATGGGGAGTCACGCCACAAGGATGATTTGGAGCTGCCTAAGCCTGTGCTTGAGTCACAGGGTAAGAGGATGCGTGCAACCTAGGGGAGTCAGTCGCCCAATTCGGAGGCTGCACTAGCAGCTAGGCAGATGGCATCCTCAGGCTTGGAAGGTGGAGTGATTGCGGAGGTAGGTAGAGCTATCCCTGAATCGCCTCAGATACCACGGGCTGCCCAGTTGTAGCAGACGTTAGTTCGGCAGTGTAAGGCTGGGGTTGTGGAGTCGATGGGTCTGGAGGGTGGGGAGCAGCCTATGGCTGTGGCTGAAGCAATGCTTGGCGCTACTGTTGCAGCCCAACGCGCAGCCACAATCCTTCCTGCAACAGTGGCGGCAGTGGTGTATTCTGTCATGCCAGCCTGGCTCGTCAAGGAGGCTCCCAGCTGCAGCACTAATGGTGCGGTTGAGGTTGGTGAGCAGCGTTTACCGGCATGTATCCAAAAAGAAGCGAAGTGGAATGGTTTACTCATGATAGGAATGCTACAGGTACAGGTGGTTTTACCACTTCCGGAGGCGCAGGAGTAGTCCGTTCCTTATGGAGAGCTAAGGGGGGGGAGCTTCAAGGTAGGGCGGAGATGGCATTGGAAGAGGAGCTTCAGCTCGTGGAGAAGATCACAGGGAACTTGTCTCCACGACAGAGGGAGGGTAATGCTAGTAATGCGGAATCGTCGTATTTTCAACCTGGACCCCATAATCTAGCACGTACAACATGATGTGCAGCACCTAGAGAGCTTTCAATTGATGGGTCAACACAAGATGAAGGGGATCCGGGCAAAGTTTCCTTCAGACCATTCTTTACACTCCAAGAGTAAGTCATCCAATAATTCTTTCGCAACTTTGTCAGATGATTAATTATCTCTTCTGGAATATACGGGGTGTATCACGCCCTCCTAATTTTCGTCGATTGAAACATCTAATTCGACACCATTCTCTGCCACTGGTGGCTTTGTGTGAGCTTAAATTGCCTGCAACTTCTGCTAATATCCAGTCCATTCGTCTAAGACTTCACATGGACTCGGCCTTGATAAATAGTACTGGCTCAGTATGGGTGTTTTTCTCAAGTGCAGTATCTTGCTCATTTGTGGGTGAGTCGGATTAGCACTTGTCCATAAAAATTAATTCCCAGCTACTACCCTCCTTTATGATATTTTCTTTTGTGCGTGCTAAATGTACCATGGCTGAGCGAGAGGACCTTTGGGCCGGGTTGCGCAAGGATAAGGAAGCGTCGGTGCCTTGGTTTATTGTAGGGGATTTTAACGTAATTACGGGAGAGGAGGAAAAGAAAGGAGGGGTGCCGGTTAGACCTTGGGAAGGGATTGAGTTGCTATCATTTATGTCCATGGTTGGCGTAGTGGATACGGGCTTCTTAGGGTTCAACTTTACGTGGTGCAATAATAGACAAGGTCGGGCACTCTTTTGAAAGTGCTTAGATCGGCTGCTCAATGACCAGTCGGCAGTGGAGATGGGTATAAATTTTAGGGTCCATCATTTGAGTAGGGCTCCTTCTAATCATGCTCCTCCCTTGCTACTGTTTGCAATCACTCGATTGGATAATTCCTCCAAACCATTTTGTTTTTTAAACTGTTGGATTACGCATGAGTCTTTCCTGAATGTAATTCAGCTGAACTGGCATGTGGAGTTTGTGGAGGACCCCCTGTACGTGTTGGCAGCTAAATTGTGCCGAGTTAAAAAGGCTCTTAAGGCATGGTCGAGGGAGTCTTTTGGGGATATTTTCTAGAAGGTGAAGAAGACGGAGGAGGAAATGGCACAGGCAAAAATTTGTTTCGATGAGAATCCTTTAGAGCTGCACGAGATTCGATTAAATGAGAGACGGGCTTTGCTAACCCATGCGCAGGTGCACGAGGATATGTTTTGGAACCAAAAAGCCAGGGCGGCATGGTTGAAAGATGGGGATAAGAATACCAGATTCTTTCATGCATGTGTGTCTGAACAGAGGAGGAAGTCTGTGATCCATCGGATAAGATCGCAATGCGGGGAGTGGCTGGAAGAGGAGAACGACATCTCTAAGGAGACAGTATCCTTTTTTCAACAACTGTTCTCGGATCAATCAGGGTTGAGCTCCATTCCAGTGCCGGATGTGATTCCAAAACTGCTATCTGATCGGGATAACCTTGAGTTGGAATAGCATCCCTCTCTAGAGGAGGTTAAGGATGTGATGTTTTCATTGAATCCCAATAGTGCTGCTGGTCCTGATGGATTTTCAAGGAGGTTTTTTACCTTTGCATAGGAGGTTGTTGGAAAGAATGTTTCTGTGATCCATCGGATAAGATCGCAATGCGGGGAGTGGCTGGAAGAGGAGGACGACATCTCTAAGGAGACAGTATCCTTTTTTCAACAACTGTTCTCGGATCAATCAGGGTTGAGCTCCATTCCAGTGCCGGATGTGATTCCAAAACTGCTATCTGATCGGGATAACCTTGAGTTGGAATAGCATCCCTCTCTAGAGGATGTTAAGGATGTGATGTTTTCATTGAATCCCAACAGTGCTGCTGGTCCTGATGGATTTTCAAGGAGGTTTTTTGCCTTTGCATAGGAGGTTGTTAGAAAGAATGTTTTTGACGCGGTAGGTAGCTTCTTATCTGGATCGGAGCTGCCAAGGAGCATAACGGCTACTTCTATTGTTCTCATTCCCAAGATGGGCTTTTCTTAGGATTTCTCACAATATCGACCAATTAGTCTATGTACATTTGTGAATAAGATTATTTCTAAATAGCTTGCAAAGAGATTGGCGAGGGTTTTGCCGTTCTTGATTTCAGATAGCCAGAGCGGATTTGTTCAGGGTCGACAACTTTTTGATAACTTTTTGTTGGCCCAAGAGCTAGTTTCCGGCATTCGGAGGCTGAATAGAGGAGGTAATTGGGTCCTTAAGCTAGATATGGAAAAGGCCTACGATAGGGTATCCTGGAATTTTCTGATGCAAGTGATACGTAAATTTGGTTTCAGAGAGAGGTCGATTGATATGATGTGACGACTAGTGGCTAATGTGTGATTTTCAGTGATTATTAATGGGACACCGAAGGGGTTCTTCACATTCTCCAGGGGGCTGCGCCAAGGGGACCCCATATCACCAGCTCTATTTATTTTGGGGGCGTAGGTTTTATCTTGGTCACTGAATACTTTGTTGGAAGATAGGCGGTTTGTGCCGTTCAAGGTTCCCAGAGGCTGCCCTAATATTTCTCATCTCGCTTACGCATATGATGTAATGATTTTCAGTAGCGAGTTGAAGAGTTCTTTAACGATGGTCATGAGCTCTATGGAAGCATACTGTAAAGTGTCGGGACAACAGGTGAACCTCCAGAAAAGTTATTTTTGGTGCATCGAAAGCTTAATGCAGCACAAAAGGGTATCATCTCTTAGGTTACGGGTTTCAAAGAGAAGTCTTTCCCATTAAGTATCATAGCTGCCCGTTCTATGTCAGAAGGGGTAAGATGGCCTACTTCTCTAAAATTGCAGAGTCAGTGTCCAAGCAGGTGTTTGCGTGGAGAAGTAAGTTGTTATCTTATGGCAGGAAGTTAACTCTTATTAAGAGTGTTCTTTCATCTATACCAATTATATTGGCTGTTGCGACTCCCACGAAGGGTTTCTTTCGAAGTCTGGAAAAGATCTTTGGGGGATTCCTATGGGGTAGTTCAGACTACGGTTTATGGTTACATTAGATAAAATTGAGCGCCCTTTGTAAGCCGGTAGAGGAGGGTGGCGTGGGGATACGGTCGTTACAGTCGGTCCATGACGCTTTTTCAATGAAATTATGGTGGTCGTTTCGACAAAATGTGTCCTTATGGGCACGATTCATACAAGGGAAATATTTGCGTGGGGGTCATCCTTGTGAAGTTGAACAAGTTTGGGGGCAATCCCCCATATGGCGAAGGATGGTGATGGTCAAAGACCTAGCGGAACAGCATATTAGATGGGTCTTGGGGAATGGGGAAGTGGATTACTGGCATGAAATTTGGATAGGGTCTGGGCTTGTGTACGATAAAGTGGAGTTTTTTGGGGTGCATTCAATGGCGAGTTTTGTTGTCCAAAGCCGGTGGAGCATAAATCTGTTACAGCAATGGCTGCCGCGAGTCATTGTGTCAGAAATCTTACTTATTCCTCCTCCTGTATCCCGACGGCTGGATCGCATGGTATGGGACTTAAGCTCATCGAGTTCATTTTCAGTTTCTTCGGCTTATCAAGTGGTGAGCCAACCTGCACCTAGGTCATTCTTTTTGGCAAATACATGGCATTCGCTGATTCCTGCGAAACTTTCCTTCTTTATGCTATGTTTGCTAGAGTCCCGACTACCAGTTATGGATGTTCTTTACCTTTTTCAAGTACAGGGTCCATCTCGTTGTTGGTGTTGTAAAGAGCTGGGGGTAGAGAGTCTAGACCATATTTTTTACACCGGAGAGATCCCATCACTGGTTTGGCAGTCTTTTGAAGAGGTTGACGGAGGCCTCGACCCAGCTTATATGGTGCGACATGTGCTGGCAAAATGGTGGTTACGGATTACAACGAAATCCACCTTGAAGCTTATCTATCGAATTCTTCCTTGCCTAGTGTGTTGGCACCTATGGAGGGCTAGGAACTCAGTGCTATTCGAAGGCAAAAGGGTGACGACAGAAGGTATTCACTGGCGTATTCTCGGGGAGCCGGGAGAGATTTTGTGTGGCTAGTTCCCCAGTCTTGCTACTGGTGGTTTGTCTTGGTATTCTCTTCTTGATTTAGTGGCCAAGAGGGATAAACGTAGTAGGATTTCCAAGCAGAAATGGAGCGGGTCGCCGTTCATGATCCCAAAGTTGAATGTGAATGGTTGCTATCGGGACAACCCGGGAAGGGCAGGCGGGAGTGGTATTCTAAGGGATCCATTGGTTGCTTTTGCTAATGCTGTTGATGTAGCTAAAAGTTTGCAGGCAGGCTTGAAGGCAGTGATTGAAAGGGTGAGGCTTTGTGTACAACAAGGTTTTGCGGACGTGCACGTGGAGTCAAATTCTTGGCTCGTGGTTTGAATGTTCCATGACGAGGTGGGGATACTTTGGTGGCTAATGTGTGACTTTGAAGAGCTTTTAGCTTTGTGCCACCATGTGTGTATCATGACGCATTGTTTTCGAGAGGCAAACAGGTCTGCTGTTTGTCTTGCTAAGGTTGGCATTACCTCGGGCATCAACCGGGTATTCGAGTCGTTGGATCAACTTCTCCTAGAGGTTAGAAGTGAGGTTACTTTGGAATGGGTAGGTACCCTTCTATTAGGATTGAATAGTGCTTGCCAGAATGGTGCAATAGCTCTTTGTACTCCGCCATTTATGTATGAGCAATAAAAGGGAATTTTTATTTAAAAAAAATCAAGAAAGTTGCACATTGAAACAAGAGGGAAAAAGAGATGATACAAGTTTACGCCTTGCTTAAGTATTTGGACAACTTAAATATTGATGAATAGTGGAACAAATTAATTTACACATTTAATCAGATAATTGGATTAGCGTATATGTATTGCTTGACCATAAATACACATATATCCATTGTTTCATTTTTATGTTTGTAGGTGTATATGTTATTGTGTAGTTTGCTTTTCGTTTATGGAATCAATGATTGTCATACTCAAAAATTAAAAGTATAATTAGTTACTGCCCTAGAAAAATAGTATTTTCTTTTTGTTGTATAAAAGGTTACAAGGTATAACACGTCAATTTTTTTGACCTTCAAGACAAAATTAAAGATTTCATAATTCCTAATCTAAAAATGTATCAAATTATTGAATAACAATTGATACTCGATCATTTAGGTTGAGAAATTTCAGTCAAATTCAAGGGATGCTTTTCATTTGATTGTTTTAGGATATCATAAATGAGGAGCATTTTGTGCCTGACAATCGGTATACAACTAAAAAATTGTCGAATATTTAACTAATAGTCCACAAGAAGAAGAAAAGGGAAAAGATTTTGAAAAAGAAAAAGAGCACAATATGTTTATGGGAAAAATGTACAGACCTTCTCAATAAAAGTATTCCAGAAAGATGTATTAAAAAAAAAGAAAGGAATGAAGTATATGTTGGTAGAAAACAAGATATATGTAAAAGATGAAATATTGTTTGCTAGCATATATATAAAAGTAGTTTTCAGCCAATTCAAGTTCCAATATAACTTAAAAGTATGGTGAATAAATTGTTCAAAAAAACTTGGTGTATTTATTACGTACGGCATTTATTATGCCTAAGTTAGATGTACTATTATAATCTGTAGTATTTTGGCATGCAATTATATGAGGTTGATTTTTTTTTTATCACAAAAGTGCAATTCTGTAAACATCAAGGAAAGTGTCATATCTAACTGTGTTTTGTCTAATTGCTATAATTCTTATTAAATTTGTTGTATTTTACTTGAGGAGCTATACAGAATCATATTTTTAATTACACCAAAATTGTATAAATTTACAAAAAAAAAATCTTATAAGTATTACATACCCTAATATAACCCGGCAAAATTCAACTAGACCTGCCCTTCTGGCAACATATTTCTGCAATCTTCTACGTTTCTGGAGCTCTCATCTGCAAATACCAAGTAACTTACATTTTGTTACACTATCTTGATTCTAAATGAGCAAGGGTTGTACTAGTACAAAACATAAATAGAATTCGAAAAAAACTAAGTGATAAAAGGTGAAAATATTGTGAAACATTCAGTATTAGCCTTATATGAAAATTTTACTCTATGTTCTATACTTGAATCACTTTTTCCATGGTTCATGCAAAATATTGACAGTAGCATGCAAACCAAAAAAAAAAATCTGAAACTGTAAAAAAAAAAAAAAAAAAAAGGAAGGGTTAAATTATGTTGTGGAACTGTGGAAAAGAATATTGAGTATTCACAGAAGAATGCAATTCCATGCAACTCTACTCCCACCTCAAAAAAAAATGTCATACAAGTAACAGCCACCTTTTCTTTTGGTCGCAATACAATTAATTCTTCACAAGGGCTGCCAAGGTCACCTTCAACAGTAGTATTTTGATTGAGCTGCGGCATTATTGATCTGAGTCTATAACTCGATATGACCAAGTAAAATCTATATTGGCCATGTATGACAAATCCAAAAATCCAACTATCAGTATTGCGAAACTTTTAATGATCATTATCCATTTCCTCACACCGGGAAAATTGTGGATATGGATACAGCCCCCTAAAAGTGAAAGCAACCCTTATTTGTTATACTATCCTATGATCCAGGAAAGGTGTCTAGTCCAAGACTTTCATCGTATTGGGATAAAAGGTGGGGAAGAATAGTTTTGAGAGGTCACCATTAGAAAAACCCTGTCAATAAAGCATAGCCCGAGAGGTCACACCAAAAAAAAAAAAAAACTGAGAAGTTGGAGATTTTTGTGCAGTGAAGCACCTGTTTCTTTGTCGTTGAAGATAACTAATGAAATCATGATGTATAAATACGTGGAAGAGATTAATGTGGGCTCCAATATTCTCTACTTCAAAAATTTTTTATTCTATTCCTATATTAGTTAATTAGTATCCTAATGTACCCTTCAAAGCAATTAGTAATTTAGTGTTCCTACATTATGTTGCTTGACAAGTCGACCTAGGTAGAACAACTTTTGCTCATACGGACTTCTCGAATGAATTATTAAATCAGCTAAGATACATCGAAATGTACTTTAATTCAATTTTTTTTTTCTTTTGTTGCTAAATGGATCTTCGTTTTATTTCTTCTTTTTTACATGACAGTGAAGTGTTCCTCTATTTTTTTTTTCTTTCCATGTCAGTTTCACATACAAAAAAAAAAAATACACAATGCAATAAGAATATGTAAATAACGGAAATAGTTGGGCAAATTCAAAGTGCTTTCAATACAAGTATTGAATTCTTACTAGTTGAGCCACAATACCTTGGTAGAGATTTATTTGTGTGACTTATCTCCTACATCAGAATTTTGAAAAGCTTCTTGTCCTTTGGAGGCCATAAATATAGAAGGTTTTAGCAAGATTGAGTAGACAAAACCCCGAGATAGGCTAGTTGGGGCTTTGGATCATAGAGCCTTCTGTGTTTCTTTGCGCTATCTTTTTGTCTTGTGCTTCCTTGTATTAGTGCTTATATGTCTAAAATTACTTTTCTGTAATTTTACTTTTAATAGTTTATATGAAATTTATCCTAAACTTCATAAAATATTCTAATTTTAATGTTATTTTTTTTATTGTTTTACATATTTATGCCTGACATAATTCACCCCTTCAAAAGTAACAATTCAGTAACCAAAGGAATGGAAGGAAACCAAAGAAGAAGAAGAAGAAAATAAGAAGAATTTTTCAATATTTACAAGTTGAGCGACAAGTTATTCTTAAAAGGTATTTATCGTGTTGAAGTGTTTTTGTGCGTGTGTCCAGATGAAATTAGTTATTTACTCAAAATTTTCAATTATTAGAATAACAGGGTGGGGAAACAAATGAAGAGGAAATGATTTTAGAGAACCTTTTTTTTCTAATTTTTCCCAGCAAGGAATGGGTGGATTTAAGGAGCGAGGAGATGATAGGAGAATTAAAATTCAGGACCTCTAATTTTTAGGATCTCAACTTTATCCATTAAACTAAAGAACTATCATTATGTGAAAACCATCATCTTCATCATGAGTCATGAAGTAGACATTAATTCTTTTGCTATCAATCAACATTTGAAATTGATCATCATCTTTATACACCCTTAGTTACTAGTATTATCTACAAAGAAATATGGATAAATTACATTTTACCTTTCTGTAGTTTGGCACTTTACCACATAATCCACTTACAATTTTAAAATGTATATATAACCCCCGCATGATCGAGAATACAAGTGTACACATATACACTACTCTTAAACCTTTTTAAAGTGTAAAATATGTTTTTCATGTCCAAACACTAGAACTCAATTCACTGGCCAAAAGTCAATTGAACTTTTGTTTTCAGTTCCTTTTTTTTTAAAGCTTTAATTTCAGATAGACATGACTGTATTTCTAAGTTTTGATGCAAGATATCATTCATTTTGGTCTATTTGTTTTGGTTGACTAAAAATAATTCTTGATCATGGGGGGATTATTTATAAGTTTTTAACTCTTAATCGCAGTCACAATTGCAAGTAATGTCAATCGCAGTCACATTTGCAGCGGTTGCTGTAGAATCCATTACTCACATGGGCTGCCGACATCTCTTCGGCCAGCCTCGTTTAATTTCAGCTGTAGCATTCAGTCCTCTGGGTCTACATATGGCTACCTATTACAAATCCAAATATCTCTATCAGCATTCCCAAACTTTTGATCATTATACATTTCCACACGCTAGGAAAATAGTGAAATTGTATACAGGTGACTAAAAGTGAAAGCAAACCTTAACCCGGCTTAGTGGAAAATACATTTAATTGATACAATAGATTTAGGCTATCATTCTGGTGACTATATACACGTATACATATACATACATACATACTCTGGTCGACTTTGGCCTTTAGAGATAATTAGAAAGAACAAGAAAATTATTTAGAGGCATAAGCGTAGAGCTGGAAAATGTTAATACTACTTTTTGTAAGATTCAACATGCAAAGTTTTATGGCTGTTTACTCATGAATAATTTTTTTTGTGCAATATTTATCCATTAAATTATGTTATTACTTGCTGCTTGAAGTTGAATGTTAAATTTTCTAATCAGTTAATCCAATTGACATTCTTGAAATTTATGACATACGGCTTAATTTGTTTCCATTTAGTTTCCTAGTAAACTATTTCAAACTAGATTAATAGCATGACCTCATTTATTTGCAGTTATTTTAGTACCCATTCTCAATTTTCACCATAAAGCTTACATAGTATTTGTCTAGTCATAAGCACTTGTTGAATTCTAATCATTGTGGTCGGGCACATAATTTTATAGAAAGAAGAAATATCAAGTTAAAACCATAGTTATTAAACCCAGCCCGAAAAGGAACCTGACAAAAGAGGTGGGTGAACGGGTTACTGATTCAATCAGTGGGTGAGTGATTCA